CCCCCCCAGCCACATGCACGTCGCGTGCAGACATTCGAACTGTGCAGTCCGGCTGTCCGGACGCCTCTGCCCTATGTCGGTCTGTCTGTCTGTGGGCGTTCTAGCCCTGTGTATCGTGCTCTTTAACCAAAAGTTAATTTTGCGGAAGACTTATACTCCTGCTGCTGAAAGTGTCACAAGTATACGTGTTTGTGGATGGAAGGGGTAGGGGGGGGGGGGCGCCAAGGTCAGTGCGGTGTGCGCCGCTGCGGTGCGCCACGAGTGGGCCCCGCTCCACAGTGCGACGTGACATGTGACTTGTGCTGGGTGCATCCAAGCGTGTGCTCTTGTTGTTCTTGTTTGTTCACACTGACCAGCCGAAATGCTCTTAGACAGTCATTTTGAAGTTACGAAACAGCAAAGTTTAGCCTATGCATGCTCTGGTAGCGCCTGCCAGGTAGGCAACATCTTGCATGCAGTGCGTCCGTGTAGTGCGGGGTGGCCTACCCCGAGTCTCGCAGGCGCCCAACTCCCGCGATTTGGCCAATGAATCTTCCCATATCAGTGGATTTCACTTTGGGCATAACGTAGATATTTATTGCCAAGCCGTCAAAGCACGAATCCCAGATTTCCGCGGAGCCATGCAAGTTAGAATACCCTGGGAATAGTAACAACTGCTGGCTAGTTTTATTTTCCAAAAATGTTGGTGGGGTGACGCCTGACGACGCCGGTGCTGGCGGTGAGCGCTTTCACACGGTCCACCCAGTCATTGGCGGCCTGTCGCGAGTTGGCTGAGCGCGACTGACAAAACCGTGTTGCACGACGGGCGGGGCGTAGCGGCGCAGACCGCTACTGTACCGACAGACAACAGACACTGTCTGTGGGCGTAGAAGGTGGGAGGGGAGGTAACGAGCAAAAGGCAGGGAGGGCTCAAATCAAGAGCATACTGTGACTAGTTTGAAAAATTGAAATGGGCAAAAGTGGAACTACTGTTCGTAACGATGAGGATATGATTGCTCCGGGCGCACCTCGCCAGAAGTCCTGCTCGCGATGACGCCGCGGCGGTCGGGCCGTTATCACGGCCATGCCATCGCCGGAGGGGCGCTCCGCTACTGATACCGGACGGGGTGCGGAGCGCAGCCTGTTACGCCGGAAACCCACCTCGCCGTGCCGAGCGGCTATCAGCGCCCCGGGCTCATCGAAGCCCCTGCCCTGCCCCGCCCCGGCCCGCCACGCCACACCCCCACGCCACAGCAGCAGTTTGTAATGTTTGCGCGGAACGATCCCCCGGTGTGTTGTGTTCACGCGATAGAAAAGGGGGGTTCCGTTGTTCACGGCTCGCGGCACTCTGATAGCCCCGGCGCGGCGTGTGAAAGAAAGAACTTTTTGGGCAATGAGGAATTTTTCTTTTTGTGTCTCTAAACTTTTGTGTTTTGGGTGTTTTGAGCCGCTTGCTATACGACGCGCGCGTGTGCTCCGATGATGTACGGAAGCGCTGGAAACTAAATTTGACTAATTGATGACATCCGTCGATGGCCCGGCCGGCGCCCGCCCCGCCCCGCTGGATGGGTTCATGCTGATGTAATAACGCTCTCGAGCGGACTAATGATGCACGAGGCCCTGCCTGTTGAGCGGGCGGGGCGGGGCGGGGCGGGGCGTGTCTCGTTGGCGCCCGGGATGAGGTGACTACCACGTGCAAGGGCGGGGCGGGACAGCCCGAAGGGGCCGAGGTACCGTGTTGTTAATGCATCGCTGGCGGAGCACCCACCGAAGAACAACGGTCCCGGTCCAGTCACGTGCGCAGATATAATTTTAGTTTCGGGCTACTGACGGAAAATAATCCAAATAAGGCCCGTAGTATACAGCGGTCCCTAAAAGAAGGTGAAAAGAGCAGCTCGGTTGCGGTATTCGATTGGGCGTGAACATTCGGCGAGGTGTGTAAAGGCGAGGGGGTAATCACTTGCGAAATAGTTCGTACACCTTCCCCCGAAATAATGCGAAATAAGGCGAAATAAAGGCGAAATAGAGGCGAAATAGAGCGAAATGAACACGAAATAAACGCGAAATAGTCGGTGAAATAGTCCCGAAATACCCCTGAAATACTCCGAAATGGCGCGAAATAGCCTGAAATAATCCGAAATAGGCGGGAAATAGCCGAAATGGCAGGAGAAATAACCGAAATGGTAGGAGAAATACCACGAAATAGTCCGTACGCTACGAACCCTAGTGATTTCCCCCTCGGTAAAGGTTGTTGGGGGAGGGCGGTGTCTCGTCAGGACTGGCCGCCCCCTAGTGCGCTCGGGGGCGTGCTCCGGGGGACGGGTGACAGGACGAAAGACGGATGAGAGCGGCCGACGCTGCCTTTGTCCTACCCCGGCTGGACTGGAGGACAGACACACACTTTTGTGTGAGCCAGGCCCGCGCCATTCCGAGCGCAGTTCGATGCGACATCTATTTTTTTTTTTTCGCGTTCTTTTATATTTGCGGGTGTCAATTCTTCTTCTCCCTGCTCCCCAGGCTGTGGCTGCCCTCTTTTTTGTGTGTGGCTTGTAATCAACTCGCTGGCTCTGCGGCGCTCACCGCCAACTCACCACTTGATGAGACGGAGCAGCAGCTCCTCCTTCACTCACACACACGCTCTTTGCCTTTGGACGGAGATGACGGAAGTTTCTTTCGGGTGGGCCATACCGTCGTCTGCCTCTGTCGGGCTCTCACAGCAGAAGTGAGAGCGAGTGAGGAGAGAGAAAGAGAGTGAGGTAGAGAGAAAGAGAGTGAG